TATCCTAACAAACCATACATCAATGGAAAGCTTATTTATTCAGCTTTCAGATGATGCATAACTCTCAATTTCGAGAAATTGACCCTTGTGACTGGTTTTGTGCTCCAGGGTCACATATCATAGAATTTTCACAATGAACTCAGCTGCCAGTGATCATTTTCATGCATGGAAAAACATGGGATCGACTTTTTGATTAAAAAACAAAACAAAAAAACATTTGTGTTTCATGGTAAAAATCCAACCCAAATAAAAATAGCTATTGTTTACACTAAGACTTTCCTTAAGCTTGTCTTCAGACCCAATTATATCATTCTGAATTATGAACTGAAGTGAGAACATGCATTATTAATGCTTTACTGTCGCTCTTCCAGAATATTAAGAATATCCAGAATGGATTCAGTCGTCCTGGTTGTCTGTAGCTTATATAAACAGATGAGTTTAAACCATCTTCTCTGCACACTGAGGCTAAACTGCACTTTATCTCTGCGTTTGGAGCACAGTTTGTGACTCCGAGGCTGAGATCTGTACTTTGACTGACCGCTGAAGAGATTGTTATAAAAGTCTGATGTTTAGATGGATTTATAAAACATGCCTCGCTAGATGCTGAAACTCTTGGGTTGTTTTGCATTGTAAATAAAACTGATTATATTAGAGTATGTTTTACAAGAAAATACTATTTCAGTCTTTACTTCAGAATTTTGTGTTTAATTCGATGTCTTGCAGTTTCATTGTAGTTATTTGTGAAAAAAATTCTGAATGAAAATTGCTTCTACTCCAAATTTTTTCACTATGTGTATTGACCAATGAATGAATTATTATTATTTTTTTAAGTTTCGGACAGATTCCCCAAACTATACCTTCATGCACAAGTTACTTGGTTCTGACACATTTTGGCTTCAAAACAGCGAAAATAATTTTGTACCTACAATAATCATGGAACTTCATTCTCAAATGTAAAAATAATTAATTTTGTCTTTTGAAAGCTGCATTCAAGAAAATCTGGCGGCCGTGAGTCCATCGGTTTCAGTAGTTGCTGCGTCAACACACAGATGAACAACATAAATAATAAGAAACCGAATAAGACGAACACAGTGTTCTCGGTCTGCTCTGCAGTAACTTCATCAGTTTTCACTGAGATCGTCAGTAATTACGCGCTAGAGTGGAATTTCACTAATGAGCGCGGAGTGACACTGTACCTGTGCTGATTGAAATTCATCAGAGAGAAACACAATCGCTGGAGTTCGGCTCTGTGTGACTCTCATGCTCTCACGCAGCCGTCAGATTCACCAGCCTGATTAATTGAGCTGATCTGATTAATGCTGCTGGAGGACTGAATGAGCGTTTCTGTCCATCACACACACTCACACACACACACACATACTCACACTCACTCACACACACACACACACACATAAGAAACCGAATAAGACGAACACAGTGTTCTCGGTCTGCTCTGCAGTAACTTCATCAGTTTTCACTGAGATCGTCAGTAATTACGCGCTAGAGTGGAATTTCACTAATGAGCGCGGAGTGACACTGTACCTGTGCTGATTGAAATTCATCAGAGAGAAACACAATCGCTGGAGTTCGGCTCTGTGTGACTCTCATGCTCTCACGCAGCCGTCAGATTCACCAGCCTGATTAATTGAGCTGATCTGATTAATGCTGCTGGAGGACTGAATGAGCGTTTCTGTCCATCACTCACACACACACACGCACTCACACACGCACACACACTCACACACACACACACACACACTCACACACACTCACACACACACACAGGTTTGTTTTTATGGTTTATGAGGACTCTCCATAGGCGTAATGGTTTTTATACTGTACAGACCATATATTCTATTGCCCTACACCAACCCTACCCCTAAACCTACCCCTCACAGGAGACTTTCTGCTATTTCAGATTTTCAAAAAAACTCATTCTGAATTATTTATAAGCCTTTTGAATTACGGGACACTGAAAATGTCCTCATAAATCACCTTCTCGTTGTAATACCTATGTCATACCCATGTTATTATACAAATTTGTGTCCTCATAAACCACATAAACATGCACACACACACACACACACACACTTCTAATGCCACTGTGATTCATTACTGGGCTCTTCATAATGTCTGAGGAGTTTCATTGGTCTTGAGATCGCTGCGCCTCTGGTGACCCGCGCAACAGCATTCATTTCACAAATGGCTTTTCTATTAGATTGAAGTAGCGAGGAAGATTGGATTGAATTCATCTCAAGTCTGAACACTGGATCAGATTCAAAACATGTTCCAGTCGCGTGAGATGATCTTACACACATGAACATCAACATGGCAGCTCAGATTCGAAGAAATGGCCAGAACACAAGAGAATTTACTGAATCACCATTCTGAGCAATTCATCAGCTAATGGCATTCTGGGAAATGAAGTGTTCTGTCATCCTTGTCCATAATTTTGTTTAATATTTAGTTTAGTTTATATTTCTTAAGTATATATATATATACATTATGCGCAAGATTTTTTTTTTTTTTTTTTACAACATTTGCACAGCATTATTTGTATAGTTTTCATTTTGATTTGGTTTGTTTATTTAATTCAGGTAATTAATTTTTATTTCAATTGTAGTTTTTTAGTTTTAGTTCAGTTTTAGTTTCATTTTAGTGCTTCGGCTTAAACATATTTCAGTTATTCGCCAAGGCAGCATTTATAATTTTCATTCATTTGATTTCATTTTTATTTTATTTCAGTTAATTAAAATGTTTTTAATCATTTTAGTTAACTATAATAAGTCAAGGTTTGTGTTGATAAACCTTCCTTTCTAACAAATTTTGTTGCATTTCAGTTCGTTTTAATACTACTTTCTTAAATCTAAACTGAAATTCTGGATCCTGTTTGTTGTCTCCATTCAAATTGGAATTTAAATTAAAAAATGTATATTCTAAAAATATGTTTGTGTGCAGAGTCAGAAAATGCCAATATTTGCTCAGTGGGATTGATTTCCAGGGACAATTTTTCAGAATTACCTTATAAAATGTATCCGGGTTTTTTTTTCATGTCAAATACTTAAATTGAACCAGTTGCTTCATTCAGAATATTATAGACAGTTACCAGTCTGATGTGATCAACCTCAACAAAAGCCCTCTTTACACTGCAACGGTGGAACAGAAGCGGCGTCTGGCATTTGTTCATTTATAAAGCTGCTCAGGATTCACAGCCTACACACGCTCACTACAGGACTGCAGTGTCCTCACTGTTCATTAATGCCGTTGATGCTGTAATAGTGATTATTAATGTGGCCAGTCTCTTTCCTCACATGAGTGTCTCTGATATTGAAGCTGAAGATGAATGAAAGTGTGAATGTCTTCACAGGGATCACATTTACACGGTGGACATCGAGACGGCCAATGCGGAGGAGATCTTCTTCAGTAAGGTGAGTCTGAGGATAGAGTTCTGTCCTGCTCTTAATTACCTGGCAGCAAACGAAGCGAGCGTCTCTCTCTCTCTCTAAGAGCTTTATCTCATCAGGAGTCGCTGTCGTGCGTCACGCAGTGAGGCCCAGATTCATGTGTGGACCTCAGGCTGATTGATGGAGATCGATCAGAGCGGGATGTAGTTTAATCAGTCATCGGGGCTCATTTGACCCTCCAGGCCGTGACAGAGAGCTGTAATTGAGTCCAATCTATCGACCTGACATTGATTTTCTGTCGACAGAAGCTGACGTGGAAGTCCAGGCAGGCCGACGTGGACACCTGCAGGATGAAAGGCAAACACAAGGTACAGCTGCGCTGTGATGATGTCACCGAGGAGTGATGATGTCAGAGATGAGTGATGATGTCACCGAGGAGTGATGATGTCATTGATCGCACAGCCCTGCACCCTGAGAAAAATATCTGCTGATTTGCAAAGAAAGGCCTGATATCACATAATTTGATGATGCTGAGTTCAAAAACATCAATACAATCTTTCAAGATTTTCACAAAAAATAAGAATGATTTTTTTCAAATTATATATATGTGTGCCAGCATTACTGCACTTAGTCACAAAAGCAGCCAAATTATAAAAATGTTGGTTTTAATGACAAAAAGTCTGTAGGAGTCTGTAAAGGAGTGGGAACTGTTCAGATACTCCATTTAATGTCAAATAACTTTACATAAACGCTAGATTATAAATAAATAAGCTTTTTTCATAAGATCTGTGATTATCTGTGGCTGTTTGCATGCACTACAGAAAATCTGGCTCATGTTTGCATAAAAGGCCTAATGTTACCTCATTTGATGATGATGAGTTCAAAAATATCAATTAAAAACTTTCCATGTACAGTTTTTTCTCTAAATAGGAATCCAGATTTTTCAAATTAATTAAACTAAAGTCAAATTTAAAAAATCAGTTTTTAATGAAAATAAGAAGTATTTAAAATGCTTCATTTAACTTGCAATCTGCAAAGGAGTGTAATTATGTTTGCATAAAAGGCCTAATGTTACCTCATTTGATGATGATGAGTTCAAAAATATCAATTAAAAACTTAAAAAAAGTCAAATTTTAAAAATCAGTTTTTAATGACAATAAGAAGTATTTAAAATGCTTCATTTAACTTGCAATCTGCAAAGGAGTGTAACATTTTTTTTCAAATACTCTATTTAATGTCAAAAACTTTACAAACACGTTTAGAATTAAATAAGCTTTTTTCCCAATAACATCTATAATTTTATCATCTGTTTGGATGCAGAAAACTTTTGGCTCATGTTTGCATTTTCTTCTGTCACTGGCCATAATTCTGACCTCGAAATCAGGAACAGACAAACAAATAATGTCATGCATGTGAAAATTGAACAAATAATTGTAATCTGGCTCAGATTCAGACAGGAATCATGTGCTTGTGGTACAAAGTTGTAGAAGGAAAGATGCTACGAAATGTTTAGTGAGACCGTGTGAGTCTCTCCAGCAAAACAGACACTATTTTTGGAATCCGCAGCCAAAAGCGTTGGATTTTATTCAGCAGAGATGATGTAATGATGGAGGATTGATTAAGTGTACTGCACACAGACGTGTTCCTCGTCTCGTTCCAGGACGAGTGCCATAACTTCATCAAGGTCCTGCTGCAGCAGAGCGACGACTCTCTGTTTGTGTGCGGAACCAACGCCTTCAACCCGTCCTGTCGGACCTACAAGGTAAGACCTCTGACCTCTGACCTCAGCCGCGCTGCTCGTTTGACATCCAAACAGCTGAATGAAAGCGTGGCAGAAAATAACAGAATCAGTGTTGCAAACTTCATCAAATATGAGACAAATTCCGCTGTGAAGCAGCTCTACAGAAGACAATAGTGTCGTAATTCAGCTCTAGTCACTTCAGTGTTGTTCAGTTGCAGTGTTTGGGGTAATGCATTACAAGTAACGTAATCAGATTACTTTTTTCAAGTAACTAGTAAGGTAACGTTTACATTTACAACAAAATATCTAAGTTGCTTTTTCAAACTCCTTTGCTTTTCCGTGTATTGACTGAAAGCTCTCCTGTCCGCATGTTGAGAGAAATCAGAGACAGAGAGACTTCCTTCAGTCTGAGGTTTATTCATCCACTTCTGATGTGAAAGAAACTTTACAGTTGCCAAAAATATAACTTTGGGTTTTTTTGTTATTAAAAAACAAGTAAGCAAATGCTGTGCAGTGACAAAAAGTAACGTAGCATAATTAGTTACTTTTGTATGGAGTAATGCAATATTGTAATGCGTTACTTTTAAAAGCATCTTTCCCCAGCACTGTTCAATTAGTCATAGGATTTTTTAAACTTGCCCTAAACCTGCAGGATCCCTGTGTCAGTGTGATCATGTGTTGTCTGACCAGTGATTGGTAAACTGGTTTAGAAATAGTCAACACACTTCGGCTTTGAGTTCACCAGCGTGTTTGTGAGGGAACCCGAAAAAAAGGCTGGTTTTCATGGTGTTTGCTGTGATGGTATTGGCTCTAAATGCTGTTTTCACATTGAGCGGCTGGTTTAGTCTAGTGTTTTGAGCTTGTTCAGTGTTTTCGCTCAATTTGGCTCCATCATCAGTCAGTGAATCACAGAATGACCGGAAGAGAAGCGTGTGCGAGATCTTCTGCCAGCCGTCGCTGTCTAATAACTGGCTCGGTCCAGCAGAGAGAGATGCTGAAGCGCGATTGCCAAAAGCACCACTAGCCGCTCACAGATTTTCCCCCGCGGACCGTCAGCCTTTGGAAAGCCTCGAGCGGCGCGGTTCTGGCGGTGTAGTGTCCACTCTGACAGCATGTCTGCTTTCCATATCCCTGGTGCGACGGCTCTGAAAAGAGCGTCTGTTTGAGGGCCAAAGTCGTCACAGATTAATCATCAGTGTACAAATGTTCTCCTGAACGGATGCTCTGATCCACGGCCTCCTCCCGAGAGCCCATCTGCGGCCGCACTCGTGCCCGGCTCCGAGCGCCTCATGCCAGCGTGAGCTGCTGGATATACGGCTGGTGTCCATTACATCAGCTGTTGCCAGGCGGAGCGGGACGAGCTGCATTACTGACAACAGAAGCGGCCCGTAACTATTTCAGAGATGATCGGAGCGCCTGCCATCACATGGCTGTGATAACAACCCATTCTGAATTTGTTCTACCGCGGTATTCGGTGTTACCGGTGGTACACAGTGTTGGGCTATACACGATTACATTACCCATTTAGTTCATTTGGACAAACAATGCGACTTTATCTTTGTGTTTTTCATTAAAAATGATAATGAACCACAAAGTAAGCGTTTGTTTTAAAGTAAGGCAGATGCAAAGATATTAAATAAGTAATATAAATTATACAGAGGTTTATATATTTTTTACTTTTCTTTTATCATACTTTAACTTTTGCACAACCTTTGTCAAGCTATAATTCAGAGTTTTGATAAATCTTCCTTTTTGACAATTTCAGTTCATTTTAAATCTTTTCTCTTAAATTCAAATTGCAATTCTGTTATGATACATGGAAGTCAAGTCAGCTTTATTTATATAGCGCTCAATACAATACAGATTGTGTCAAAGCAGCTTTACAGTGTCAAACAGGAAAATAGTTTATCAATAATGCAAGAAGACAATAATAAACACTCTAAGAACACTAGCTGCTGCATTTTGGACCAGCTGGAATTTGTTTATTAAGTGCGTATTTGACCATAGGTCATAATTTAGATATATTTTTAATATATCTAAACAAACGCTAGAAACGTGGCTTTCGAAGGAAAGATTGCTATCAAATAGCACACCTAGGTTCCTGACTGATGACGAAGAATTAACAGAGCAGCCATCAAGTCTTAGACAGTGTTCTAGGTTATTACATGCAGAGGTTTTTGGTCCAATAATTAACCTCACCTCTGTTTTTTTCAGAATTTAGCTGTAGGAAATTACTAGTCATCCAGTTTTTATGTCAACTATGCATTCCGTTAGTTTTGCGAAACGGTATGTTTCATTGGGCTGTGAAGAAATATAGAGCTGAGTATCATCAGCATAACAGTGAAAGCTAACACC